CCCCCAATCTCTCCTCGTAGGGTTTTGCCTGCAGGAGCCTAACCATATGAGTGGCCCTCCTCTGAACCCTCTCAAGGCGTCTTGAAGTGTGGCACCCAAAACTGGATGCAGTACTCCAACTGCAGCCTGACCAATGCCATGTAGATGGGAAGTATCATCTTCTTGGACCTGTTTGTCATGCAGCTGCTAATGCAGGATAAAGTGCTGTTAGCTTTCCTGATCACTGTCACATTGACAACTCATGTTCATCTTGGAGTCAGCACTGACTCCAAGATCCCTTTCTGCTGCCAGGCTGCTGAGAAGGTCCTCTCCCTGCCTGTAAGCGTGCTGGTGAATGTGCTTGTCGTGCTCGTTTTGTAATATTCAGCCACGACGTGCCTGTTCTGTAATATTTTGCTCATGGAAATATGCTCTCTGTCCGGAGTTCTTTGTCGCATAAGAAGTAGTTCTGCTCCCCATTTGCGCTGCTTGAGAGGACAGTTCTTCAGTCTTTTAATAATTGACTCCTCAGTCTACCTTCCTGTGTTGCATTGCTCAGTTGAATCCCACAAGTCAAGGAGTATGCAGAGCCTGTCTTGAGAAACTTCTGTAACATAGTAACTGCTTCCTCAAGAGAGGTCTGTATTCATTTGTGCTACCTTAGTAGGTACTCTGAGATGTTTGTGTTCATTCCCATTACCTTATTTATTGCTATAGTCATAGAACTTCATTATGGTTGGCACTGCAAATAGAGTACAAAATGTCCTTGCCGCAGAGAGTATACAAAGTGTAAGATAAGATGCAATAATTTGAAATAGATAAGTGCACAAGAAAAGGGTGAAATGGTATGGTCAGCATGTTTAGCAGGAGTGATATTACAGAAGCATGCCCGTGTTGGGTATTTTGTAGCTATTACAGCAAAAAAGTATAATCTTGTGTATATTGTTAGCAGTTCCCAGTCATGTGTGGTCAGTCAGGTATAGTGTGGGAGAAAGCACAAGGGTGGAAGATGAAGTGCTGGCATTTCTGTCTTAACTGACATAACAGGGTTGGGTGAGCTTGGCTAAACTTTGCCCTGTTGGTGCAGTATTAAATAAGTGACATCACTGTGTTTGTGTTTTGTTTTGGGGGGGGGAATGGAGACTAAGTTTAGGTATATGAAACATAAGCTAGGTATACATATCACCTGAGACAAATTGTTGGTTGGTGTTTTTCTGTACTTCAGACACATTGGTAATAATAATGTTGAATCTCACTGCTAAAGAGCTAAACAATGAGTAACTCGTAATGTTTGGTTTTGATTTCATTACTTTAGATTCCATGTAATGGAAAAGCAGCAGATCGCATCCACCAGGATGGTATACACATCCTCATCAACATGAATGGCTACACTAAGGGAGCACGAAATGAACTATTTGCACTCAGACCAGCACCAATTCAGGTAGTAGAATCAGTGTATGGAGAACTTCCCGTGTCCCAGAAATAAAATAAAATTTTGCCCTGGAATAGGTCTTGCTCTGGAGAGACCGACATATAAGTAGAATACTGATATTTGCTTCACTTTCTAGTATAGGTCCTTTTGAGTCTTATCTGGTGAATAATGTCTGAAAGAAAAAAAAACCCAACAACAAATGGGGTTCCTGAATACTCCATAAATATTTCATATGGCTAAGAACAAACAAGATCTGAGTACATTTTATCATGCTTTTTGGTAGGACACCTTTGTTTTTGCTTCATTATAGTCATCTTAAAAAATTGAGTTGCCTCTGGAGAATTTGTCTTGAGCAAAAACAGTTCCCCATAGGTTGAGTATGTGGTTGTGAAACACGAGCAGGTCCAGAAAGGTGATCCTCCCCCTTTATGCGATATCGGTCAGGCGCAGTTGGAGTACTGTGTCCAGTTCTAGATGCCGCACTTCAGCAGGGGTGTGGACAGCATCGAGAGGGTCCAAAGGAGGGCCACTGGCGTAGTCAGGGGGCAGCCAGGGCAGTCTGTATGAGGAGAGGCTACGGGACTTGAACCTGTTCAGCCTCCACAAGAGAAGGCTGAGAGGGGATCTAGTGGCCTTCTATAAACTTATCAGGGGGGACCAGCGGGGAATGGGAGAGTCCCTGTTCTCCTGAGCACTACCAGGAGTAACTAGGAATAATGGCCACAAGTTGATGGAGAGTAGGTTCAGGCCAGACATCAGGAGGCACTACTTCACAGTCAGGGTGGCTGGGATCTGGAACCAGCTTCCAAGGGAAGTGGTGCTCGCTCCTACCCTGGGGGTCTTCCAGAGGAGGCCAGATAATCACCTAGCCGGGGCCATTTGACCCCAGTAGTCTTTCGTGCCCATGGCAGGGGGTCGGACTTGATGATCTGCTCAGGTCCCTTCTGACCCTACCAACTATGAAACTATATTTTGTGATTGACGGGGATCCTGGTTTTCTCTGAATTTAAAAAAAAAACAACCAAATTTTGTGATTTTAAAAAAGTAACCCAAAATCCACATTTTTCTGTGATTAAAATGAAACATTACTTGTATTTATTAGTGGAATTGCATTTTAATCACAGAAAAATGTGGATTTTGGGTTACTTTTTCAAATCAGAAAATTTGGGACTTTTTTTTTTTAAACGTGGAGTCTCCATAGTGATAAAGCAGCATCAAGCAGATTTAAAAAAAAAAAGAATAATAATTTAAACATACTGATGGAGAACCTTTCATGTTTATATGCAAGCCTTCTATGTTCAAATTAAAATAATTGATACCAGTACACCTTGAAAGATTACTGGTAATAGGAAACCTTAACAGTGGGGATATCCAAGGCAGTGAAGTTTTAAAAACAAACAAAAGCTTTTGGTGAGCTGGCAGTGTTGTATGCATTTAACATCTTGTGGATGTTTATTGTGCTGATTCAGCAATATGAGAGACTAATATCATGTTGAATTTCTGCATATTGTACAGTTGTGTGTGAGATCTCTTGCAACTGAAATTACAATCTCACTTTGCCTTGTTTTGTAGGCAATGTGGCTGGGGTACCCTGGAACCAGTGGGGCCTTGTTTATGGATTACATTATTACAGACAAAGAAACTTCCCCAGTTGAGGTGGCTGAACAGTACTCTGAAAAACTGGCTTATATGCCAAACACTTTCTTCATTGGAGACCATGCCAACATGTTTCCTCATCTGAAGGTAGGTGGAAAGTGCAGGACTGGGATAGCAAACAGTGATAAGAATCGTTTATAGGGTCTTGTATTTAGTAGAATGTAGGGGTGCACTGATAGAGATTCATGGAGCTGATATTGAGAGCTGATTTTTAAGGAGGCATATCGGCTGAAAGCGATCAGATTTCTGATACAGCTGTGTGTAGCTGGTAGGTCTGTTGTGTAGTGGAAGTGGCATGGAGGGTGCAGATCAACACCCCCCACGGTGAGGGAGGGAGTGGGGCAGGGGCAGATTGCCTAGGCAGGGCAGGACGCGTGAAAGAGCCGCAGCTTGGCGGGGGGGCACAGCTCCTGCTGCTGCTTGCACCCTGGGGGGGCCGGGGGCATGGGCCCTTGGATCTGTGCAGGGCGGGCTGGAGCTGGGGCTGTGCTGGGCTCTTCTCAGCAGGAGCTGGGTTTGGGAGCTATGGTGAAATTTGGGGTAGCTAAGGCTCCCCCACCCCATAGCCTCCTCCCAGTGCAGCCCTGGCTCCAGCCTGCAGCTGCCGCCTGCCCACCCTGCCCCCCACAGATCTGGGGGCACATACTCCTCTCCCCTCCATCCTTTTCTCCCCCTTCCCCTGT